AGATTCCAGAGTGGCCATTACCCTGAGCTATGAGAGGAGAGCAGAGAGGGGGAAGAAGGAGAGGGGAACCAGGTGTAACAGCCAGGAGGCCCAAAAGAGTAGATGAAAAGGCCAGGTAACCAGAATGGCTGGATTATCCAGAGAGGAGCAACTCAGTGGTATGCCAGCCAGGAGGGCTCTGTAACAGGAAGGGGAGAAGGACTAAGGAAGAACCTGGCCCGCACTGTCTACTTTGATATGTTAAATAGGCACCTCAGCCATTTGTCCCAGGTTTGAAACCAGACACTTCTACTTCTGGTTCACTGGGATTTCAGATTTATGTGCAATACAGACCATTTGCAATTAACATGATACTAGGAATTGAACCCACAGCTTCCTGCAAGCAGGACAAGAACTTGATGAACTGGGTTACATCCTTAGCCCTCCCTCCAAATTATTACAGTTAATAGTCACTGAACACTCAGCATTATGCTAAGTAATTTGTAAGAATTCTCAGTTTATCTTCAATATTGATTCATGCAGAAATAGTACTTTATTGTTCTCAGTTTTTAGGCGGAGAAATTGAGGAAAAGTAGTTAAGAGACTTTTCAAGAACACATAGAGATGGAGCCAGAATTTGGGCCGACACCTGTCTCACTCTAAGCCAGAGCTTTTAAACACTATGTTCAACTGCCTTTCAGTTTTCAAGAAGCCCACTCAAGCCTGGTGGTAACACACCAGCTTGGGCTACATTAGCATGACCAGTAGGCTATAATTCACAATGAATTCCAGCGGTGGGGGTGGTGGTGGTGGCGCACACCTTTAATCCCAGCACTTGGGAGGCAGAGGCAGGTGCATTTCTGAGTTCAAGGCCAGCCTGGTCTACAGAGTGAGTTCCAGGACAGCCAGGGCTACACAGAGAAACCTTGTCTGGGGGGAGAGGGGAGAAGAAAGAAACAAAACAAACAAACAAATGAAGTTATTACAGAGTTCCAACTGCCTCTCCCTGTCTGCTGCATGGCAAGACAGCAGCACTAGTGACACAGATACTATCAACATTCTGACCAGACCCCTGGTTTTGGTATGTATTTGCTTCTAATGATCTTCATCTATGATGCTTCAGGCCAAAATTATTCTTGAGATTTTGCCTGAGATCACAGTTTTGTTTATCTTTTTGCCTTTCCCCATTCTTACCACTCAGTTTTTCCTGGAAGCTACTACTGGACGAATGACTTGGACCTGAATCTCCTTCATAGGATCCTTTCTGGGGAACTCAACCCAAGACAGTGACTTACAGTAGAATATGTATAAAGCTTTGGACAGGTACAGTGCCTCACGCCTGTAATCTCAGCACCCAGGAAGCAAAGGCAGACAGAGCTTTGTGAGTCTGATGCCAGACTAGTCTACCTGTGAGTTTTAGGCCAGCCAGGACTACAGGAGACTCTGTCTTAAACGTAAGTTTTATTAGAGAACATCAATTCTTTTTTATGCACTGTTTATAGCTGTGTCTATTACCATAGCAGAACTGAGTATCTGGGAGAGACGGCAAAGCCTAAAATAGCATTCTCTGGCCTTGTTCAGAAAAGATTTATAGATACCTAACCTACTCAGAATACTTGTTACTCAGCTTTATAAACGGAGTGAATACATTAGAAGGGACCACCAGCATATTGCCTGGCACCTGTCAGATACTCTACTCAGATCTGTGGAGCTGAAGTGCAATACAGGTGACTTCCCAAATTAAGGCCTGTTCTTAGATCTCACAGTTCTAAGCTTTTTGAAAACCTAAACTTTTACAATTAGGCCTTTCATCTCCTATCTCCCTTCTTAGACTTATCCCTCCTTTCCTGAAAAAGAACACCTCCTGGTCAGGAAGATCTTAAGATTTTAAGGAAGAGGTCTTGCCCACCAGCAGCATGACAATCAGCTGTGGAGATTGCTGAAAACAGAGTCCTGAGGGCAGGCCTGCTGGTGCATACCTGCAATCCCAGCCTTAGGGGTGGAAAGTAGTTGCAAGTCCTAATTAGTAAATGTCAGGTTGGTCCACTACAGAACAAGACGCTATTTCAACAAAAAGGATTCTTGGCATCTATATTAGACTTCCCTGGAATTAGAATCACAGAGTGGGGCCTAACTTGACAGCTAATTTTGAAAGGCACTAAAGCTTAATAAACGTATTTCTGTGGTAAATCTATAAATAAATTCAATAGTATACAACCACAGAAGTGAAGAAACTGTTTCCTTCTAGTGGGGAAACTACAAGAAAACTCTTAAAACACATGAAGCTCTTTGGCCAGGTGTTAGTCTATATAGTTCACATGCTCATCTCATCCTGAAAAATCCGATATGTAGGTTTTCATTTTCATATGTATGTATGTATGTATGTATGTATGTATGTATGTTCTGCTGAAACAAGTTTCTCTATGTAACCTCCTAGCTGTCCTGGAACTTTCTGTATAGCCCAGGCTGGCTTCTTGCTCCCAGGACTGGGATTAAAGGTGCGAGTCACTACACCCAGCTAGGTTTTTATTTTCTTAAGGCTTGGAAATGGAGGCACAGAAATTTAAAGATTTTGTGCAAGATTACAATTCCAGCAGGGCAGTGGTGGTGCACACCTCTAATTCCAGAACTTGGGAGGCAGAGGCAGGCGGATTTCTGAGTTCAAGGCCAGCCTGGTCTACAGAATGAGTTCCAGGACAGCCAGGGATACATAGAGAAACCCTGTCTCAGAAAAAAAAAAAAAGAAAAGAAAAAAGAAAAACAAACAAACGAAATACAATTCCAGCTAAGCCAAGTTTCTACCATTAACTACTTGTTCCCAGAGTCCAAATTCTTAGCCACTAAGTTATAGTTTCTAGTCCTGGTCATGTTCTACTTCCCAAATTGAGTAGTGCAGACACACCGTATGTTATTTATACTTTACATATATACTATATGTATAAGAAATATCCTTTTTATACCTATCAAGTATTCCACTTAAATGTATACAGGCTTTAGAAGCAGAGGCAGGTGGATCTCTATGAGTTCAAAGCCAGCCTATTCTATAAGTGAGTTTCAGGCCAGCCAGGATTACACAGTGAAACCCTGTCTCAAATCAAAAACGAAAAAACAAAATGTACACGAGCTTCTACTAACAAAACGTTTACAAACTATATTTGGAAGGCAACTCTAGCCAGGCAGTGGTGCACGCCTTTAATCCCAGCACTTGGGAGGCAAAGGCAGGCGGATTTCTGAGTTCGAGAGTTCGAAGCTAGCCTGGTCTACAGAGTGAGTTCCAGGACAGCCAGGGCTACACAGAGAAACCCTGTCTTGAAAAAAACAAACAAACAAAAACAAAAAACAAAAAAAAAGGAAGGCAACTCTACTCATTCAAAGTTTTCCTGAGTATCCAGCAGCTGACATCCTAGCATCTCTCTTGTTGATACCTACTTCAGCTGCAATTCTCCATCAGACTCAGAGGGCATTATTCTGCCTTATTAGTGTTTAGGACCAAGTTTTTCACCTGGGGTTCAGAGAAGTGGTAACTCCCTTTACCTGAAAACGGCTCCAGTTGCCCACTGATGCGGAAGAAAAACTAGGTGTCATGCTCGAGGTGCACATGACTTACTCCAGAAAAAAATCGCAGTCCCATTTCTAGAAACGAAAACTGAAGTACACAACGGATTCATGACTTGTCCTAGGATATACAGCCAATTAATGTTTGGGACTTGACGTAGGTTCACAGAGATGTGCTCTCTAGTGTTCTAGGCTGCCTCCAGTGTCTGGGACACCAAAGAACTGTATTTTTCCAGAGTGCTGACAATCTTTTAGTTCTGTTTGCCCTTGCTAAATACACACGGATTCTGAAGGTACTGGATCTGGTTTTGGCTCCAAACTGGGGCGTCCTCGTACAGAAGAAAGCAGAAGGGAAGAAAGCGGATGTGGTCTGGTCAGCAACCGGTGGCTGGGACACTACCCACCTAGCACGAGGATACGGTCCTGAGGACACAGCTCCGGCTCTAGCAGGGCACGGAAGGAAGCGAAGTTCCCGAACCACTCATAGGGTCCAGAGTCGGCCGCATCTTTGTAACGCTGGTCCCAGTACTGGACTTGACAGTACTGGAAGTTCCTCTCGGGTAACTCCGGAGGGGACACAGGAGTCCGGGGAGAGGCCATGCTCCAGGCTGAGCCGCAGCCAGGGCGGGGCTTAGGAGCCCAATCACCGAGGTAAGAAATGGGAGGCGGAGCCTATGGCTCCGCCCTCCCCTGCAGCTGCTCCACACAAACACGTGGAACTTCCGTCATCTTCTAAGCTCTTTTTTGAAAGTCGTCCGGCTGGAAAGCTGAATTTCTTGGTGTCTTATTAACGTACTGCCCATCTCAACTCGACCACATTTCCTCGTGGCAGACCAGGTCCTCTGGTCACCAAATGTGAACAGGTTCATTTCCGCGTTCTCTCGTGTTCAGTTTTCAATAACACTTTCCATTAAGAGGCGTGATTAATTAAAGATTACCTTCTTCCCAAGATTTTTGGAGCACCTTCGGGTGCTTCGGGAAGGCGAGAGGAATGCTGAAAGGGGCTTTCCTCTAGCGCGAACACAATTACTCTGGACATAGGCCGAGTGGAAAGCTGGGCTAGGAGAAGAGAACAGAACTATTGTTTTGTTTTCTGGGCAAACACTCTGATATATAGGCGTTTATGTGCTCTGGACGGGACATACACCGAGAGGTATATGTATATTTATAGTACAATATCGTGTAGTCCTTCAAAGGAGATGCGTTGTATGGATTAGCTATCTTATCCTTTTTCAGGTCCACTTAGCCACATTAGAACTGTCTCTCACAACTGTGTATAATAAGCACTAAATATGTACCCAATGAATCATTTTGACCTAGAAACTCCAGCGCTCTGAGTCCACTTTGTAGACTGCTATGCAGTAAATAAGGATTCTGGTTACTCGGATCAGCGTTTAGTTTTGAGAGGACGCCCAGAGCAGGGACCGGAACCTAGTGTCTTAGGGTTGGTTTTCCCGGGTGGTGGAAGCACAAGAGTGGCGCACTGTCAAGATGGCTGCTGGGCTGCGGAAACGCGGCCCGCCGGGTTCTGTCGTCCAGCCGGCAGGAATCTGGAAACAATGGCTACAGCGGGCCTGGCAAGAACGCTACCTACTGCTGCGGGAGCCACGCTACACATTGCTGGTGGCCTCCTGCCTCTGCCTAGCAGAGGTGGGCATCACCTTCTGGGTCATTCACAGGGTGGCATGTGAGTTCATTGAAGGGGAGAGAACCGGAGGGAGGGAGGGAGGGAGGGAGTGAGGAAGGGATACCCAAACTAGATTACTGAGCTTTCATTCACCGTTCAAACCTATATCCTTTACCCGACCCAAGCCCATTTTCCAAAACAGGGATCATAGTCTCTCTCCCATACCGGAGGGAGGTGACTCTAGAGATTACCCCATGCATTTAACATTGAGCCTGCTAAGAAAGCATAAGCAGCCGAGAAGTAAGTTCTGGCCAGAATTAATGTGCTGTTGCTATTCCTGCTGCTTGTCTGTACCTTTAAACAGTCACTTCCCATACCAGATCTGATTTTTCATGCTTTTAATTCTTAGGTTTTGAAAGTCCTTTTAAAGAATGGCATTTTGTGACCATTTGAGTCCACTAGGTACTGGTGTCTTCCAGGATAAGTCTTTTTTTAAAAACAAAACAAAACAAAACAAGCCGGGCAGTGGTGGCACATGCCTTTAATCCCAGCACTTGGAAGGCAGAGGCAAGCGGATTTCTGAGTTCGAGGCCAGCCTGGTCTACAGAGTGAGTTCCAGGACAGCCAGGACTACACAGAGAAGCCCTGTCTTGAAAAACCAAAAAAGAAAGAAAGAAAGAAAGAAAGAAAGAAAGAAAGAAAGAAAGAAAGAAAGAAAGAAAGAAAGAAAGAAAGAAAGAAGAAAACAAGAAAAGATAAAAACAAAACAGAGTCTCACTAAGTAGCCCTGATTGACCTTGCTATGTAGACCTGGCTCCTGAGTGTTGTTGAGATTAAAGGCAGACACCACCACAACTGGCTTCATAAAGACCCTGTTTTTAAAATGAGAGTGAGGAACATTCAAGAAAGATAATCACCATTAACCTCTAGCCTCCATGTTCATACTCACATGCATGCACACTCATGTGTGCACTCACACATGTGCATTATGAACACACACAAGACAGAAAGAGAGCAAGCCTGTTCCTTTTTAAGAACTAAGGAGCCAGGTGATGGTGGCACACACCTTTAGTCCCAGCACTTGGGAGGCAGAAGTAGGTGGATCTCTGTGAGTTTAAGACCAGCTTAGTCTACAGAGTGAGTTCCAGGACAGCCAGAGCTACACAGAGAAACCCTGTCTCATGAAACCACACATACACACACACACACACACACACAAACTGAAAAGGAGAAAAGTACTACTTGATATTCGAGGAACACAGAAAAGAATAAATTTGGAGTAGGAAGAAAGATCATAAATTCAGTTCTATACATTGAGTTTAAGGTTCCTGCATTCATGGGCCTAAGTAGATAACTTAGCAGGTAGTATTTACCATGTAAATATGAGACCTACAGTTCAGAGTCTTAGCATTATACAAAAATGCCAGGCAGACATGGTGGCCCATCTGTAATCACGGTACTGGAGAGGCAGGACAAGCGATTCCTGAAGCAAACTGACTAGCTAGACTCTGTTATATAAATGATGGAAGAATACACCAGTGCCAGCTCCTGGCCTTAGCACTCGTGTGCACGCACATGCACACACACACACACACACAAAGTATATGGGTTCACCCGGAGAATGCCCTATATACAGTTAGATAAGGGATGGTGATGGAAGAAACCTGGGACTACGGTAGAGCTGTGGGCTTTGGTGGTCTGAAGGCATGGGGTTTAGAACTAGGCAAGTTCTGGACTCAGAAGGAACGAGACCATGTTATCTTCTTCCAGACACAGAGATTGACTGGAAGGCCTACATGGCCCAGGTGGAGGGTTTCATCAATGGCACATATGACTACACACAGCTGCAGGGTGACACCGGACCTCTTGTGTGAGTGAGGATAGGAAGTCTGAAGACATTGTGAAGGGCTGGGTGGGTCCCAGGCTGACTGTCCTGATCTAGGCTCATGTTTGCTTTCCTCTTCCAGCTACCCAGCTGGTTTTCTGTATGTCTTCATGGGGCTGTACTATGCTACTGACCGAGGTTCTGACATCCCTATGGCCCAGAACATCTTTGCTGTACTCTACCTTGTCACCTTGGTGCTTGTTTTCTTGATATACCACCAGACCTCCAAGGTGAGTTGATGCTACAGGACTAACTAGCCCTGGCCTGAAGTGGGTGGTGGGGATGGCTCAGATTTGGGGAGTTGACGTTGGTGCCCACCCTTTAGGTACCTCCCTTCGTCTTTTTCTTCATGTGCTGTGCCTCTTACCGTGTCCATTCCATCTTTGTACTGCGGCTCTTCAATGACCCAGTGGCTATGGCATTGCTCTTCCTGAGTATTAACCTCTTCCTGGTGCAGTGCTGGAGCTGGGGCTGCTGCTGTTTCAGGTTAGAGCCTCTTCCTTCTGCCCCTTCTGTCACATTTCCATAGCTTCCCAGTGTTTTGCAAGAGAGGACATCAAGAGTAGTTAGATATGGTAGGTCACTCTGGCCTCCCTGAACAAGGCAAGAATCTGTAGAAAGTCCCTCTTTCCTCATGCTTTCTTTCTATCTTGTCCCTGGTTGGCATGCGTTGTTGGAGTTGGCCTTTAAGTATGTCAATCAATATGTGTCCAGTTAGTCTAGACAGAGGGATCAGGTATTATTCCCTTCCTCCCAGCCTCCTCTCAGGCCTTCTTATGTTCCTCTTAACAGTTTTGGATGGAGACCACATCCTGGCACTTAACTGGGAGAAAAATCTATGAGGAGGTGGGCATGTTGTACCAAGGGGCACACGATTCTGGAGTTGATCCTTGACCTTTTCTGTCCTTTGTCCATTTCAGCCTGGCTGTCTCAGTGAAGATGAATGTGCTACTCTTCGCCCCAGGATTGCTATTCCTTCTTCTTACTCAGTTTGGCTTCCGTGGTGCCCTCCCCAAGCTAGCCATCTGTGCTGCTCTTCAGGTACCTCCTAGCCTCCCCTTACCAAAGAGTCAGGTCTCCTTAAATCCCTTAGGGCTTTCTCAAGAGCCAACAGACAAGAGTTTGATTTTGAGCTGGGCAGCTACTGTCTCTGCACTTCAGGTCCCATGGCTACTAAGCTTGGTAGGCCTCTCAGAGGCTTGCTTAAGACCTGGTCAACGGGGATGGAGAGATGGCTCAGTTGTTAAGAGCACTGACTGCCCTTCCAGAGGTCCTGAGTTCAATTCCCAGCAACCACATGGTGCCTCACAACCATTTGTAATGGGATCCAATGCCCTCTTCTGGTGTGTCTGAAGACAGCTACAGTGTTCTTATATATATAGAATAAATAAATAAATAAATAAATAAATCTTTTTTTTTTTAAAAAAAAAGACCTGGTCAACTAGCTAGACATGATGGTATACATCTTTAATCCTAGCACTTGGGAGGTGGATTTCTGAGTTCAAGGGCCCCTGGTCTACATAACAAATGCCAGGCCAGCCTGGTCTACATAGCAAGCCAGGTCAGCCAGGACTACATTAGTGAGACTCTCTCTCTAAATACCTCCCTCCCTTCACACACACACACACACACAATCAGGTGATTTTTTTTTTAAAGAATTTTTACTTATTTATGTGTATGAGAGCTCAATTTCCATGTGTGCCTGCATGAGAGAAAAACATCAGATCCCATTATAGATAGCCATGAGCCACCATGTGGTGGCTGGGAGTTGAACTTAGGACCTCTAGAAGAGCAATGAGTGCTCTTAACAACTGAGCCATCTCACCAGCCCACGATCTGGTGAACTCTTGAGGAAGGCAGTGTGATCAGGCCCCTCCTATGGCTCCTTGGTGCCAGGCTCTGTCGGGGGTGGGATTGAGGAGGTTTCCTGGTGCTCCTCGTGGAAGGAAGGGAGCTTCCGAGGCTTCCATCCCACTGCGCTCTCCCAAGTGATGCCCTGAAGGCTGAGGTGAGCCTAAGAAGTTCTGCTGGCTTCACACCGATCCTCAGGTGCTGCTGGGATTGCCCTTCCTGCTGGAGAACCCCATTGGCTACCTATCCCGCTCCTTTGACCTTGGCCGTCAGTTTCTTTTCCAATGGACAGTGAACTGGCGTTTCCTTCCTGAAACCATCTTCCTGAATCGTGCCTTCCATCTGGCCCTGTTGGCTGCCCATCTTAGCCTCCTCTTGCTGTTTGCCCTCTGTAGGTGGCACAGGTAAGAAACAGGGTTAATATCATGGGAAGATTCACTGGATGGAGTGGAGAGCTTAGCCCTTAAGAGCTACTTAGGGGAAATGTTAAGTTTATGGTGGTTAATGTAGCATTTGACGATCAACTGGGCCTTGATAAATGTCTGAATAACTTCTCTTCAGAACAGGAGAAAGTATTCTGTCACTGCTGAAGGATCCTTCCAAAAGGAAAGTTCCACCCCAACCCCTCACATCTAACCATATCCTTTAAATCATGGAAAGATACGTTTTGATCTCTCAGAGTGCAGACAGAGTCTTAGTCTGTTGGCCTGAGAAAGCAGGCACCACAGGAAGAGGCCGGAGCCCAGTCATAGATCCTGTCCTCTGAGCAGACACTGCACTGAGCACCTTACACCGCGGCACAGCTTGTTCTCAATCCAGCATTGTAGGACCATGCACTCTTGGTAGTGTCCTAAGAGTCCATACTCCCTACCATGTAAAATCCACCTTTACAGTCCCATGCGTTCCTATCTCCCTACTAACCAGGAACAGATCCAGAGACACTAAAAAGCTTGTCTGAGGCTTGCATGTAGGACAGAGTAGGGTGCTTTCTTACCCTGAACTTTAAACCCTTACCCCCACCACACCCCCACTGCCCTCCGTTCTCGCCCAAAGCCTTAACCATCACATCACAGATTGTTTCCATTCTCTTCACCTCCAACTTCATTGGCATCTGCTTTAGCCGTTCCCTCCACTACCAGTTTTATGTGTGGTATTTCCATACACTGCCATACCTCCTGTGGGCCATGCCTGTGCGCTGGCTCACACACCTGCTCAGGTACTGGCTGGGACAACCTGGAAGGGTTGGGGCAGGGCTTGGGAGCTCCTCCTCTCAAAGCTGTAGCCACAGAAGGAGGTAAGCTTTGAGGGCTGGATGGGTGGAGGGCATGAGAGATCTAATGCTGCAGACCTTGAAATGGATGGGACGGGCCTGTTTCTTACTGCAGGCTGCTGGTGCTGGGACTCATTGAGCTCTCCTGGAATACATACCCATCCACCTCCTTCAGCTCTGCTGCCCTGCACCTGTGCCACGCTGTCATCCTGCTGCAGCTCTGGCTGTCCCCCCAGTTCTTTCCTAAGAGCAGGAAAACTCACTGAAATCCACCCCTTCTTTCTAGGACTTGCTCAGCATCATGGGTGGAACGGACTCTGTGTTCTTAGAATAAACCTTGCCAAGTCCACCTTTGTGCAGCCTACATAAAGTTAGTGATTGCTTGTGTCTACACCAAGCTATGAGGTGCATCTTCCCAACATGGAAATGAACAACTCATCAGGCAGTCTTAAGAGGCACTTTATTGCATAGAATTTGGGACTGTAGCTCTCTCCTCTTCCATTATCCTATAGAGAGCTCAGAGCACATAGGAGGGGGTATGGAGTGGGAGGAGAGAGAAGAGAGCACAGGCAGGCACTTTCTGTGGTGGCAAGAATATTGGGAGGGGTGTGTGTGTGTGTGTGTGTGTGTGTGTGAAGCAATGGAGGACAGCAGACACCAACTTATTCCTTCCCAGCACCAAGAGACTGGCCCTGGGTGGCAGTGACTTTGTGTTGGGGGTCGCTAGCCAGAGCTTCAAGCAGTCTTACACATTTGAAGGGCTGTAACACAGCAAGTGTAGCTGCAGATTCTGGTCCCAGTGTCGCAGTAACAGAAAGAGCCCCCGGGCAGCAGCTTTGAGAGCAGTCAGATCAAGGCCATCTGGCAGGTGTTGGGCCCTCAACCAGCAATCAGCTTTGGAAGCTGTCAGTTCCCACTCACCAAAGGCAGCTGCGCAGCGGTGTTCCAGCCACGCCAGGGCCACGGCTGTGGCCCAAGTGCGCCCACGAAGATCAGAGCTTTCCTGCCTTTCCATTCCTTCTGAGGCTTCGGTATCTGAGCCCCTCCCACTGTCTACCTGGCCTGGACCCTCAGAGCCTGAGCTGGGGGACTGGCTGCAGGAAGCTGTGGCACTGTCACCTTGGCCGATACCAGGGCCCAGAAATGCCCAAGGAGATGAGGCTGAAGTAGGGCTGAGGCTGGCACGGTGTGCAGCAAAGGGTGAGGCTCGACACAGGCGTTCTTGAGGAATGCACACAGCAGCACAGAAGGGTTCATCCAGGCGGAAGGAGCCTGGTGCCTCTTGCAGTCGTACCTGAGGAGAGAAGAGGTGGGGGGAGAGGGAGCTGAGACAGAGCTCTGGCTCTAATGGTGCTACCCTCCACCTCCCCAGTCCTCACCAAAGGCAGGTAGTCATGGTTGCTGCCATCATTGCTGTTCTCATGGGTTTGGCCCTTATTGGAGCTGCAAAGTCTGCGATGACGACCCAGGCTGAGCCTGGAAGAGGCTGGAGGCTGGTGGGGCAGGCCATGATGATCTCCAGTAGGAGATATGGGCTCCCCCAATGCTGACTTGGAGTTGTCATTTAGGTCCAGGTCCCAGGCACCTGCAGAACAGCCTCCCTGATGTCCTACAGTAGGGTCACCCAGTACCAGCAAGTGGTCCAAAGCCCACCTGTGTCCAAGTCATTGCATTTGAACCATACCTTTAGAGTGGACTGCTGTGGACAGAGGAGCAGCAGCTAGATGGTCTTGAGAGGCAGACATGTCTGAGAGCTCAGCTGGATCTGCAAGAGGACGGGATTCGGTCCCACTGGGTTGCCAGTGAGGTGAGGGTCACACCTTAGAGGTCATCAGAGAAAGAGGTCACCTGAACTCCAGACGTGCAAGGCTCCAGGCAAGACCTCCCTAGTGGTAGCATCTACAGCAACAGGGCAGGTAAAGCAGGATGGGGCAGAGCTGACCTTGCTTGTCTGAATGGCTCTGAGCCGGGACCTTCTGACTCTGCCTGTAAATCAAAGCAGTAGCAAGTTCAACTCTCACTCTCTATACAAATCTGCATAATAGCCGGGCGGTGGTGGCACATGCCTTTAATCCCAGCACTTGGGAGGCAGAGGCAGGCGGATTTCTGAATTCGAGGCCAGCCTGGTCTGCAGAGTGAGTTCCAGGACAGTCAGGGCTACACAGAGAAACCCTGTCTCGAAAAACCAAAAAAAGCTGCATAAAAAGTGCTGGAAAACATCGGTCCCCTAACAAGCAGAACAAAAGGTGTCTCCATCTCTGTTTCCTGCCATCGGACTGCCAATTTGGGTCTCAGTGGGAAAGGATATGCCTAGTCCTGCTGGGACCAGATATCCCAGGGTAGGGTGGTACCCAAGGGGGGCATCCCCTTCTCTGAGGAGAAGAGAAGGGGATAATAGGGGAGGGATTTATAAGGGTGGAACTTGGAAGAGAAGGTGGGGTGTGACCACTGGGATATAAATTAAACAAACCACTGGAAAGCCAAACATGGTGGCTTTAATCCCAGCATTCCAGAGACCAAGGCAGGCCACCATCTGTCTTTTCTTTTTCTTTTTTTATGATTTAAATGTAGGAAGCAGATTGGGCACAGGCAAACTTTAGAGTACCCAATGGCAGTGGGTGGCCCCTCTACAGGACTTCAGGGAGGTTCTTTATTTTTGACAGAGTCATACTATGTAACCTAGGTTGGCCCAGAACTCTCAATTTTCTTGCCTTAGCCTACCAACTGCTGGGGTTTCAGGCATATGCCACCACAGTCAGCACCATATACACATTACATTACACATTACAGATACAGTATATATATATATATACATATATATATATGTGTATATATATATATATATATATATTACATATACATACATATACACATTACATATACACATATACATAGCACCATATACTCATCTCAGCACTATCCAGAACTTTCTGCAGGTATCAAAATGTTTTGTCTGTATCACTCATTAACCACATGTGACTGTTGAATACTTGCAGTGTAGCTAGGGACAGTGTGGACCGAGGCTTTTTTTTGTTTGTTTGTTTTTGTTTTTTGAGACAGGGTTTCTCTGTGTAGTTCTGGCTGTCCTGGAAATCACTCTGTAGACCAGGCTGGCCTCGAACTCAGAAATCCGCCTGTCTCTGCCTCCCAAGTGCTGGGATTAAAGGCATGCACCACCACTGCCCAGCCATGGACCGAGGTTTTAACTTGTATTTTTAACAGTCTTCTTTTTTGTTGTTGTTGTTGTTTTTTTTTTTTTTTTTTTTTTTTTTTTGGTTTTTTCGAGACAGGGTTTCTCTGTGTAGCCCTGGCTGTCCTGGAACTCACTCGGTAGACCAGGCTGTCCTCGAACTCAGATATCAGCCTGCCTCTGCCTCCCAAGTGCTGGGATTAAAGGCGTGCGCCAACACCGCCCGGCTTTAATAGTCTTCCTGAATGGGAAGTTTAGTCTCATGCTTCAGGCAGTTTATTACAAGATCATATTACCTTCCATTTTGGCTTCTAGGAAACTTCCCAATTTTGGGTCCTATGCTGTCAAGAGTATATAGCCATCAGTGTTCTTGACCACTGAGCTATCTGTCCAGCCTTGGTTTCCTTCCTTTTCACTCTTTGTCATTACTCTGCTAAATTTCTTACCTTGTCAGTATGATGTGTCACCTCAAATCCTTTGTGACAAAGTAAGGAACAGGCTGATTTAACACAGATATACACCTTGGTCGTTTTCTGTTTAAAGCCTTTGTGCCTGAGGTGTGTCTGCTAGAGACTTACCTTGCTCAGCCGTGGTTTCAGCTCTTCCACGGAGAGCCAGCTGTTCATTGTCCTGGACCACAGAGGCTGCTGTCAGCCTGTGGAGTGCCTGATCCCACGCGGCTTCTCTCATCGGAAGTGGTGCAGGCTGGGAGCCATTCCTAGGACCCCAGAGTTCCTCCAGCCCAACACCCACCTCCCAGCACATTGGCTGTTCCCCACACAGCGCCCGGATCACCACGTGACAACGTGGAGCCTGAGGAGGCAGAGGTTCTGCTGGAGGAGCTGATTCCCCATTGGGTGGCACAGCCTTGAATAAGAAAGACGGCTCCATCAACATATCCCAGTCCAAGGGGGCTGGGGATAGCAGGTTTCCTGGGGAGAGATGTCAGGGGTATAGGCAACATGGTGCACTGCGCTCCACTTCCCCACAGCTTTGCTGTCAGAAACCCACCTTCCCATCCCATCCTTACCTGAATCATCGAGGCCCTGAACCAGTTGTTGTCCTGGCTCAGGGCCTGATCCATCTGGTATTGCATCTAGAGAGGGGTGCCGGGGTCTACCAGGGACTGGGTTTGTCTGGCCTGAGGGAGACGAGAGACTTCGACCAGCCAGAGCTGCTCTTTGCCGACGGCCCAGTACCTCAGCACTCAAGGCTCCCACCTGTGTGTGAGAGATGGGAGGTCAAGCAACGCTGTGTTTCTAGCCACCATAGACTTGCAGCTACCCATAATTCCAGTCATCTCATCGTATTTCCCACTTCAGGTTGTTTCTTGACTCTTTCTTTCTTTTTTTAACTTTTATCTGTATTTATTTTATGTTGAATTTATTCCCGTGCCATGAGCTTTAGTTTCTTCAGTTTCTTCTGGGATCTTTTTCTTCTGTGCAACAACTTTGGAACAATCTGTTCCTTCTCAGTGAGGATCACCTCAATGTGGCAGGGGAAGCTCATGTATGGGTTAATCTGTCCATGAGCTCTGTAAGTTCGTCGGCGCATCTTAGGTGCCTTGTTCACTTGGATGTGTTCAATGACTAGGGAATCTACGTCTAAACCCTTAAGTTCAGCATTACTCTCTGCGTTTTTAAGCATGTGCAGCAAAAATTCTGTGCTCTTTTTTGGCCACCGTCCCTGTGTCCAGCCCCATTGTTTGGCCTGGGCGCACCTACCACCTTCACCATTATACTGACAGAATGGCACACATTGTTTTTTTAAAGTGACATTCTTCAGGTACTTGGTAGCTTTGTGGATGTGCATGCCCTTGATGGCCTGGGCAGTTTCCCGGGTGATCTTAAAGTGAACACGAAGGTTTGAACCTCTTGTCGGGTCACCTTTCGCCACTTACAGGAAGAGGACTCTTTCTTTATATCTTCATTGTCTTTTAACTTGCTTATTCTTCCTGACATACCTTACTTTCCTAACTCCCTCTAACAGTCATTCTGACTGAGCACTCAATACATGTCCCTGTGTTCATTATTGGTTGTGACATCATAGATATAGTTATACCCACCTATTTCTCTAGCTAGTCTAATAGTAAACATTGCACACAGTAGGTGGTAGATAAATATTTGCTGGATACATGACAGATGAAAAAGTACTAGAGCTCACCTTGAATGGAGAT